TTGTACAAGTTGTGCTGGCTTCCCCAGTATTGTGTACTGTCTCACCCTTCACCAAAGCTACCACTTATCTGTTGTCTGTTTAGTATTTCCCCCCACCCTTCCCATCTCTCGTAACCAACAAAGATTGTTACTTTTTGTGTGTAAACTTTTTCAAGAGTTTTTACAGTACAGGTCTCATACAATATTTGTCCTTTTGTGATTGACTTATTTCACTCAGCGTAATGGCCTCCAGTTTCATCCATGTTATGAGATGCTTCACAGATTCATCGTTGTTCTTTATCGTTGCATAGTACGCCATGGTGTGTATGTACCATAGTTTGTTTATCCGTTCATCTGTTGATGGGCATCTGGGTTGTTTCCATCTTTTTGCTATTGTGAACAATGCTGCCATGAACATGGGTATGCATATGTCTGTTTGTGTGATGGCTCTTATTTCTCTAGGATATATTCCTAGGAGTGGGATTGCTGGATTGTATGGTATTGTTATTTCTAGCTTTCTAAGGAAGTGCCATATCATTTTCCAAGACGGTTGTATCATTATGCATTCCCACCAGCAGTGCATAAGAGTTCCGATCTCCCCGCAGCCCCTCCAACATTTGTTATTTCCAGCGTTTTTGATTGTGCCAGTAATGGCAGGGTGAGATGGTATCTCATTGTGGTTTTAATTTGCATTTCTCTAATGGCTAGTGGTCTCGAGCATTTCCTCATGTCTGTTGGCCGCTTGACTGTCTCTTTGGTGAAGTGTCTATTCATTTCCTTTGCCCATTTTTTAATAGGCTTATTCATATTTTTGTTGTAGAGGTGTTGGATTTTCTTGTAGATTATGGAGATTAGACCTTTGTCTGACTTGTACCGTCCAAAAATTTTTTCCCAGTCTATAGGTTCTCTTTTTACTCTCTTGGTGAAGTCTTTTGAAGAGCATAGGTGTTTGATTTTTAGAAGATCCCAGTTATCTAGCTTATCTTCTGGGGTTTGTGTGTTGAAGGTTATGGTTTGTATCCTGTTAATGCCGTGTATTAGGGCCTGTAGTGTTTATCCTACTTTTTCTTCTATGAACTTTATAGTTTTGGCTTTATATTTAGGTCTTTGATCCAGTTTGAATTAGTTTTTGTAGATGGTGTGAGGTATGGGTCCTATTTCATTTTTTTGCAGATGTATATCCAGTTTTGCCAGCACCATTTGTTAAAAAAACTGTCTTTTCCCCATCTGATGGACTTTGGGCCCTTGTCGAAGATCAGGTGACTGTAGGTGGATGGATTTACATCTAGGTTCTCAATTCTGTTCCATTGGTCAATGTATCTGTCATTGTATCAGTAACAGGCCGTTTTGACTGCTGTAGCTGTATAGTAGGTTCTGAAGTCAGGTAGTGTGAGTCTTCCAACTTTATTCTTCTTTAATAGTGCTTTACTCATCCAGGGCTTCTTCCCTTTTCATATAAAGTTAATGATTAGTTTTTCCATCTCTGAAGAATGTTGTTGGTATTTGGATCGGGATTGCATTGTATTTGTAAATTGCTTTGGGTAGAATTGTCATTTTCATAATGTTGAGTCTACCTGTCCATGAGCATGGTATGTTTTTCCATTTATGTAGATCCCTTTGGGTTTCTTGCAATAGTGTTCTGTAGTTTTCTTTGTATAGGTCTTTCACATCCCTGGTTAGATTTATTCCTAAAGTATTTGATTTTTTTAGGGGTTGTTATAAATGGTATTGTTTTCCTGATTTCCTTTTCATCGTTCTCTGTATTGGTGTATAGGAATCCAACTGATTTTTGTATGTTCATCTTGTATCCTACTCTGCTGAATCTTTCTATTAGTTCCAGTAGATTTCTCTTGGAGTCTTTAGGGTTTTCTATGTATAGTAGCATATCATCTGCAAACAGGGACAGTTTAACTTCTTCATTACCCATTTGGATGCCCTTTATTTCTTTTTCTTGGCTTATTGCTCTAGCTAGAACTTCCAGCACGTTGTTAAATAGGAGTGGTGATAAAGGGCATCCTTGTCTTGTTCCTGTTCTCAAGGGGAATGTTTTCAGCCTCTCTCCATTAAGAATGATGTTGGCTATTGGTTTTGCATAGATGCCCTTTATTATGTTGAGAAATTTCCCTTTTAAACCTATTTTATTGAGAGTTTTTATCAGGAATGGGTGTTGGACTTTGTCAAATACCTTTTCTGGGTCAATTGAGATGATTCGTGTGATTCTTTTCTTTCCTTTTGTTTATGTGGTGGATTACGTTGATTGATTTTCTGATGTCGAACCATCCTTGCGTACCTGCTATGAATCCTACTTGGTCATGGTGTATTATTTTTTTGATATGATGCTGAATTCTGTTGGCTAGAATTTTGTTGAGAGTTTCTGCATGTATATTCATGAGAGATATTGGTCTGTAATTTTCTTTTTTTGTGGCGTCTTTGTCTTGTTTCGGTATCAGGGTTATGCTGGCTTCATAGAGTGATTTCGGAAGTGTTGCTTCAAAAGGGGGCTTACTTTTGATAAATTCTATAGAGTTCTGTTTCATTAAATATTTTCTTCTTTGTTATTTCTTTAGGAAAAATGGAGCGTGAGAAACCTATTTGGTATAAGTTAAGTTTTACAGTCACAGAATTACTGAAAGCTAAAAAAAAAAAAAAAAAAAAAAAACTCCCCCCACCCCATTCTCAATGTATAAATAAATCTACATGAAGATGAAAGGAGAGAATTTTTTTTTAGTGCAGCAATAGCACAGGAGACTCTCTTTCCTTGTTTCGGTAAGAGTATAGCGATTCTGTAATATGACTATTCTATAATATGGGTAAGAAATTAGCATTTATGTTATAGTCCAAGCCTTGTGATATTATTTTGGAAAGAAGTCACTGAGTGTAAATGGCAGTGCAAATTTAGAAGTGTTTGGCAAACTTTATAAATAATACTAAAGCCTTCAAGGCTTTACAAATCCACTTATCCTTTTAACAGTGTATACTCTTTGTCAGGCACTGTGGTGGGTACTGGAGCCCTAGTGGCACAGTGGTTAAAGAGATCGGCAGCTAACCAAAAGATCGGCAGTTTGAATTTGCCAGCTGCTCCTTGGAAACCCTATGGGGGCAGTTCTACTCTGTCCTGTAGGGTCTCTATGAGCTGAAATCAGTGGAACGGCACGGGGGTGGTTTTGCATGGTGGGTGCTAGGGATTCCGCAGGAATAAGACACATAGTATCTGCCTTCACAGAGTTTATTGTTTTGCAGAGAAAACAAACATTCAATGAATAATTAAATTAGTAATTAATAATGATAAATGCTATGAAGAAAAAAACATAGGGTGGTATAAAAATGTAGCATTTTAGTCTTACTTGGTCTAGTAAATTAGATTTGGTACTTAGAATAGTTTTTTTTTTTAATATTTAATATTATAGTTTACTGATTAATGTATTTGTACCTAATGTGCATAAGCAGTAACAGTGTTTAGTAACTTCAGCATAAGTATTCATGTCCATGTATTTTTTATTCCTAGATCTTTTTACATTGCCAGTGTTTGATTTTGCTAATTGCAGAAAAATGGCATTTTGTTATGTTTGAAAATTTGAAGGTACAGATGCAGTTGGATCCTGTTAATTGTAGCTGTACAACTCTCAGATTTTGTAGTTAAGAATATAAATCCACTAAATAAAATATTTTTAATACAATATAGAATTAGAGTAACTCTCCTTTCTCCTGCTCAAAATTTGATTTGCTGAAGCTGTCTCCCGAAAATCATGGGTATCGACACTCTGGTCAGAACTTGCTCCGGACTCCCATATGGCAGAATCAGGTCAGGTGGCAGTATCAGGTAAAGGGAAATAAGAAACATTATGTCCCCTCCCCTCTTTTTTTTCTTGAAAAAAATTCATTCAGGAGAAACAGTAGAATGACTAGGAGAAGGGGAACTACGTAAGAACAACATAGGATGATTACTGTACAAAGTTACTTGATTTTTGTAATGTTTTACACATTAGCCTTTAGAATTGCATTGCAATTAAGCAAACTTGAGGAAAGGAAAAACAAGGAACTATAAAAATATAAGGAGAAAACACAAGATGGCAGAAATAAGACTGAACACATCAGTGATTACAATAAATGTGAATTGATTATATTTTCCTAGTAAGAAAACTAAATTCAGTCTCACTGATTTAGATGTAAAGCAAAAGGATAGCCTAAGAGAGAAATATGTTTCGTAAATTGTGAACCACATGATAGGAATCCCCATTGGTTAATAGGCAAAACACCAATTTTAGACATATTAGATGATACATACTTGTTTCACAGATACATTGCAAAGTTTCAGAGTTAAAGCTGAAGTTTTTTATTTTTTTAATTTCGATGATAAAAGAAAACATCTGGATTATAAGAGCACTCTCAGAAGTACTGGAGGTGTGAGCATAATTCATTTTGCTTAAGTATTGTTTTTTCAAGGTGTGTTCTCACCACACCTCTTAGTTTTTTTTTTTTTTTCATATCTAGATCTTATTTGTTGATTTGTTTACTTTGCTTTTAGCATACATTTTTTGGTAAATTGGGCTTACATAAGGAAAACAGCATGGCCTGCAAAACAGTAGAAAACTCTGCTTTTGTGTAGTAGGTTGTCAATAAATAGTTTTATTGGTTAGGCATTCAAGACCCATGGGTTAAATGGAATTAACTGTTCCTGATCTCTCTTCTTATTTTCTAGAAATATTAAAAGTTTGGCCGATATCCAAATAGTACAGGTTGCTTGTGGTTACTATCATTCACTTGCACTCTCCAAAGGTAAGCGTTGTTTTTATTTTCCTTCCCCTTTTCAGCTTTGTTACATGATACTTTAAATGAGCAGAAAGTCTTACAACTTGTTTTTCTGCTTGATCCTTTTCATTTCCATATAAATTTTAGAATTAGCTTGTCAGTTTTCACACACAGAAGAAAACTGCTGGGATTTTGATTGGGAATACATTGTTTCTGTAAATCAGTTTGAGGAAAATCTTTACAATATTGAGTCTTTTCAGTTCTTGAACATGCTATATTCATTCATTTAAGTGCCCTTTTAATTTTTCTCAGCAGGAGTTTGTTTTATGTGGGGAGGTCTTACACATCTTTTATTAGATTTTTCCCTAGGTATTTTTGGAGCTCTGATGGTGCAGTGGTTAAGAGTTATGGCTGCTGACCAGAAGACTGGCCATTCAAATCCACCAGCTGCTCCTTGGAAACCCTGTGGAGCAGTTCTACCCTGTCCTATGGGGTCGCTGTGAGTTGGAATTGACTCGACAGTAATGGGGGGTTGTTTTTTTTTGTTATTGTGAATGATGTCATTTTTTAAATTTCGTTCTTAATTGTCTGTTGCTAGTATGAGTCTCCTAAAATCTCTTCCCATATAGGTGATGAAGATAGTAGCTTTCCCAATCTCGTTTAATTTCACAGATAAATATTTTATGAATAAGGACAGAGAAGAAGGTTAAGCAACCTATTAGCTTTGTTTGCTTTCCTCTCTTACTGATTTGACTTCTTCATATGTCAGCTAAGTACTGGAACGTGTATTATTAAAGAACCTGCCAGATGTTTTCTTTTCTTTTTTAAAATCATTTTAACAAATAAGTTGCATTGGCTTTGTTGTTATTATTTTTTAATTCAATAAACTTCTAGTACATTTACTATGAATAAAACACTAGGCTAGAGCTGTGGGGAAATACAGATAAATTAAAAGACAGTTTTAAGGAACATTCTCTGTAGTGGAAGAGGTGAATGTACAAATAATTAACTCTAGTTTGAGGCAGAAAAAAATACTACTTTGGTCAAAGTAAATGTAAAATGCTGTGGGAGTGAAGACAAAGGTATAATTAGTTACAATTGATAGAATTGTTAACAGTAAGGAGGGAACTGGTTTGTGATGCAAGTCTTGAAATGATGAGTAGATTTTATTAAGAATTGGAGAAATTTTGAGAAGTAATAAGAGGAAATGTTGAGAAGTGACCAAGAGGGTAGTACCAGTAAAGACAGTCAGGAAAGTGGTGTATTTGGATATTGGCACGTAATTTTATGTGGATATTGGGAGGATTAGGAGATAGTAAGAATTGAAGCTGAAGTAAAAACAGAAATCTGTTAAAAGGGCCTTAAATGCCATGTTAAGGAATTTAGACTTCTCTGTCGGCTTTAGGGAACCTGGCACCTCTCTGTATTCTTTGTTGTTGCTTTGCCAACTCCTCGTTCGATGTTTTGGTAGGTAGATCCAATATAAAATTCAAACCCAAATATTTTACTGATAGTAGCAGTTTTGCATTTTGACCTACAGGTATTTTTTGCCTCCTGCAGCTTCATGCTTTAGGCGGTATCTTAGTCATTTAACAGTTTTTTGAGCGCTTAGTATAAACTAGGTACACTGTTATGTTATGGACTGGGTATACAGTGGTAAGTAATACACTACTAGCCCTTATGGTATAGTTATACAAATAACTGTGTAATTACTTACAATGATAAGGGCTTTAAAGAAAAAGTTTAGGGTATTTAGAGCATATAACAGGGGGACTGGATTTAAGCTGGGAGATCAAGGAAGCCTTCCTGCAAGAAGAGAGTAGAAATGAACTAGACAAAGATGAGGAGAAGGTTTAGGTAGAGGAAACAGCAAGTGTGTGAGAAATGAGCATTGGAGAATGTAAAGGAATTCATGTGTGGCCAGAGTATAGTAAGTGAGGGTGGAGACGGTATGAAACGAGATCGAAAATGTAAATAGATAATACAGGGCCTTATAGGCCTTATTAAACATATTTATCCTAGGAGCAATGAAAAGGCACTGAAGTGTTTTTGCAGGTGAGCAACATTATCAAATCTGCATTTTTATAAGTATATATACAAAAGTCCATTTGTATGTGCATAGAACATTTCTGGAAGGACATACCAGTATTTGGTAGAAGAGGCTGGTTCTTGGGAGAGGGCCAGGGATCTAATTTTGTACAGAGGCTTTTAAGTGTGTACTATTTTGTAGTATGAATTTTTTTAAAGTCAGGACATCAGTTGTTTGATAAAAATAAAATTATGTGTAAAGTTGCAAAATAGGGTAGCACTGGGGGAACAAAAATGACAGCAGAGAAAACTGCTATAGGAACCAGGTGAGATGGTGAGTGAATCTATTCATGTTTTTCTTTAGAAAACAAACTATGTATAACTTGGTGATGGATTGGTTGCCTGTGAGGTAAGAGGAGAGGCACATTAAGGATAATTTCCTGGGTTTATGACGTGCTACAAGATCAGTTGTGATGTTGTTAACGAAGATGGGGAACGCTGGGAAGAGGTCCAAGTATGGGAAGTGGAGAGGGAGTCATGAATTCACTTTGGGGCACGCTGCGGTGGAAGTACCTTTGAAACATACAAGTGTAGTAGATGTGAGGTAAACAACTGGATAAATGGATTTATTGCTCAGAGGAGAGGTCTGGACTAGTGATAAAATTGTAAACATCAGTATGTGGTTGATAACTGAAGCCTTGAGCTTGGATAAGTCCTCTTGGGAGAAAATACAGAATGAAAGGCTTGAGGAGTATTAAAAAGAATCCTTTCTTGAGGAGCATAAGGAAATGAGATTACCCCGTTATGTGACTCACTCATTGGTCAGTATCCCAAACCTAACCCATTGCCATTGAGTCAATTCCAACTCATAGTGACCCTCTGTGACAGAGTAGAACTACACCATAGGGTTTCCGAGGCTGTAGTCTTTGTGGAAGCAGACTGTCACATCTTTCTCCCATGGAGCAGCTGGTGGGTTTGAACCACTGACCTTTTGGTTAGTAGTGAGTGCTTAACCGATGCCCCATCAGGGCTCCTTATTCGTCAGTATAGTCAGTCAAATTTAAATACACTAGTACAGAATGTTCTTCTAGGTAGTATGTTTCCATGTAAAAAATAAATTGAGTTGCTAAAAAGAGTACGTATTTCCATCTGGTGAGAGGAATAACATCCCAAACTAATTGATGAACTTCAAATGAAATTTTTGTGTGTGTGAGAAAAATGATTAATTTGATGATTTTTGTTTTACAGCAAGTGAAGTCTTCTGTTGGGGACAGAATAAATACGGCCAGTTGGGTTTAGGCCTTGACTGTAAAAAGCAGGCTTCACCAAAACTGATTAAGTCTTTGCTTGGAATCCCTTTCATGCAAGTTGCAGCAGGAGGAGCCCATAGTTTTGTACTCACCCTTTCTGGAGCTATCTTTGGATGGGGACGCAACAAATTTGGTCAGCTAGGTCTTAATGATGAAAACGGTAGGTTCTTATTTTATAGTTAAATATATTTTCTAAAAGAGATGATCTTTTGAGATGGAGCAGTGATTCTTAGTATCAGAGAGAAGTGAACTCAAATCTTCCATAATAGGGAGTTGGGTGATGAGATGTTAATAAAAAAATTCCATTTGATAATAATAATGGGGTGGGGGTAGGAAAGCACAAAAAAATCCTTTTTTTGAAAATAAACTTATAGAAAGTGTATCTGGACAAAATCCAGATTTGTCTAGATGTTTGTTAAAAGAAAATTGAAAACCATTACTCAAATTGGTAACTAGAGTTGTTACATTATTGGCCACCATCACTGGAAAGAAGCTGTAAAATTATTCTGGGAAAATAACATTAAGCATTAACCTATTTGAGTTTTTTCAGGAAATAATTAACCTGAGTCATTAAACTAATCTTTGGTTGGGCTTCACTTCACTGATGCTAGAGTTTTGAAGATAAGCATTTTAAATTTTAAAAAATTATAACTACTTATAACAAGTTGGGATTTTGGAACTGATTTTCCATAGTTTCATTAGGTTGAATGCCAATATCGGACCTACAAAAACTGCAGTTTCATAAAGTTCATCATAATTTTAATGACTTAAGACGACAAAAATGAGTTGTTGATCTAGTAACAATTGGTAATGATAAGCAAATAATACTTTCAGTAAAAATTAAAGAATATTTTGTTCTGCATAAGAAAAAAATGTCAGATTTTAGAACATATATATATCTTTCCTGCTGTAAGATAGCAGAGAGTATACTTTTCAGGCTTTTGGGTAGGATCCTGTGAGCATAATTATTATGAGACAAATATAAAGAATGGTGTGTGTGTGTGTGTGTGTGTGTAAAATTAGAAGCATTTAAATAGCTCTGAAATTTGTAGTTTACTGAGTCCTGTGCAGGTTGACCTATAGGCAGTTTAACACTTAAATTGCTCTTATTAAGTCCCTCCTTTATTTACAGTCATGTAAATAGACAAACCTGGGAGCCCAGCTTAGTAGACTTGTACTACAAAATTATTGAATCATAGTTAAAATTATTTACTCCTCATTGTCCACTTAGTTTGGGAAGCTGTAGAGGAAACAAATTCTAGAAGAGTTTTCATTTAAAAAAATACCGTTAACGTCTCTTGTTGGAATTTCCAGATAGGTATGTTCCTAATTTGCTAAAGTCACTAAGATCTCAGAAAATAGTTTATATTTGTTGTGGAGAAGATCATACTGCTGCTCTAACCAAGGTATCGTATTTCTAAAACCTCTTTATTATTATTCATAGTTGTTATTTCATGTTAATGATTAATTTCTTCATAATATTTACATTAAAACTTGTTACTGATGTCTCAAAGATAATTTATCTTGAAAAAAAGACTTAGATTGTTATTGTTCTAAAAAATAATTTACCTTCATTTTGTTATAAAACGTGAATTATTATATACTGTTACATATGGTCAAGTTTCTCAGTTCATATGAAGTACTTTTGAAATAATATTTTTAATAAAATAGTACTTCCTTTTGAGTTCATCAGGCTTGCTATGCTGTACGTATCAATCCCAGTTATATTGTATAGCCATGCTTAATTTTAATTTAATGCCATTTTGGCTTATAAATATTTTATAACGAGTAATAAAGGAGACTGAATCCCTCCATTATCCATAGGCCAAGTTTTGTGCACATAGTTACAATGTGCTTCCCTCATAATCTTGTCAGTAGCTTTAATTCTGACCTCTTAGTTTCTTGGATATGTGTTAAATCAGTGTCAGTACTGATTAGTTCTCCAGAGACCAGAAGTTAAATGAAAATAAAAAACATTCAGCTTGTTTTTACTAGAAGCATTATTTATTGTAGCAGTGTTAATGTAAAGGAATTGGCAAGTATTCAGAAATCTCTGTTTTTACTGCTTTATCTTTCTTTGCCGTGCATAGTAGACAGAATTGGTGAGAAGAAATTAACTTCTAATCAGACTTTTAAATTCTGCACCCTTTACTCCCATATTGGGAATTTTAAGTTGGCAAAAGTGTTGCTCGTCATTACCACATATAGTGTACTCCAGGTACTTAAAGCAGTATTATAACAGCCATTCATAAAAGTTAATTTAAAAAAATATTTTATATTACCTTTTAGTAAGGAAGTTTTACTGTACCTACTGATCTTAATACCACATTTTACTGATTTTAGCATTCGAATTACAAATGTAATCACTAAAGTCTTATTAAATCATGTTGGCAAGTTATAGTTTTTAGCCATTTTCTTCCATTATTGGTATTTGGAAGAAATAATGCTATGTTAAATAATAGTAAAAGTATTTGGTATGGTTTCATTCCTTAGTTCTAACTGTGTGGTAGAAATACTAACAATGTTAATATTTTTCAACTTCAGGCTTTCAAATAATCACTTGTCTTGTTTTTCCAGGATAAGTGTTTATTGATTTTTTAAAATTGCTGATTGTGTTAATCTTTTGTATCCATCTTAGAAGACAGTAGGTGATGATATTTGTTCACTGAACTTTTTAGTGTACTTTTTTTATTTTTAATTGTGCTTTAAGTGAAAGTTTATAGTTCAAGTTAGTTTCTCATAAAAAAATTTATACACACATTGTTATGTGACCCTAGTTACTCTCCCTATAATGTGACAGCACACTCCTCCTTTCCACCCTGGATTTCCTGTGTCCATTCAACCAGCTCCTGTCCCTCTTTACCTTCTCATCTTGCCTCCAGACAGGTGCTGCCTATTTAGTTGCATGTATTTGCTTGAGCTAAGAAGCACTGTCTTCATGAGTATCATTTTATGTCCCATATTCCAGTCTAATCTATGTCTGAAGAGTTGGCTTCGGGAATGGTTTCAGTTCTAGGCTGAGGGAGTCCAGGGGCCATGTCTTCCAGGGTCTTTCCAGTCTCAGACCATTAAGTCTGATCTTTTTACTAGAATTTGAGTTCTGTACCCCACTTCTCTCTTGCTTCGTCAGGGACTCTCTGTTGTATTCCCCGTCAGGGCGGTCATTGGTGGTAGCTGGGCACCATCTAGTTCTTCTGGTCTCAGACTGATGGAGTCTGTGGTTTATGTGGCCCTTTCTGTCTCTTGGGCTAATATTTTCCTTATGTCTTTGGTGTTCTTCATTCTCCTTTGCTGCAGGTGGGTTGGAATGAATAGATGCATTTTAGCTGGCTGCTCGCTAGCTTTTAAGACCCCGGACACCATTCATCAAAGTGGGATGCAGAACGTTTTCTTAATAAACTTTGTTATGCCAGTTGACCTAGATGTCCCCTGAAACCATGATCTCCAGACCTCCACCCCTGCTACACTGTCTCTCGAAGTGTTTGGTTGTGTTCAGGAAACTTCTTAGCTTTTGATTTAGTCCAGTCATGCTGACTTCCCCTGTATTGTATATTGTCCTTCCCTTCGCCTAAGATAATTCTTATCTACTGTCTAGTTAGTGAATACTCCTCTCCCTCCCTACCCCCCCTTGTAACCATCAAAGAATGTTTTCTTCTGTGTTTAAACCTTGAGTTTTTATAATAGTGGTCTCATACAATATTTGTCCTTCTGCAGCTGACTAATTTCAGTCAGCATAATGCCTTCCAGATTCATCCATGTTATGAGATATTTCACGAATTCATTGTTGTTCTTTATCATTGCATATTATTCCATTGTGTGAATATACCATAGTTTATTTATCCGTTCGTCTGATGGCCACCTAGGTTGTTTCTGTCTTTTTGCTGTTGTGAACAGTGCTGCAGTCAACATGGGTGTGCATGCATCTATTCATGTGACAGCTCTTATTTCTCTAGGATATATTCCAAGGAGTGGGATTGCTGGATCGTATGGTAGCTATTTCTAGCTTTTTAAGGAAGCACCAAATCGATTTCCAAAGTGGTTGTACCATTTTACATTCCCACTAACAGTGTATAAGTGTTCCATTCGCTCCACAACCTCTCCAGCATTTATTATTTTGTGGTTTTGGGATTAATGCTAGCCTTGTGGGGGTGAGATGGTATCTCATTGTAGTTTTGATTTGCATTTCTCTAATGGCTAACGATCGTGAGCATTTCCTCATGTATCTGTTAGCCGCCTGAATGTCTTCTTTGGGAAAGTGTCTGTTCATGTCTTCTGCCCATTTTTTCATTGGGTTATTTGTCTTTTTGTTGTTGAGGTTTTGCAGTATCTTGTAGTTTTTAGAGATTAGACGCTAATCGGATTTGTCATAGCCAAAAAAATTTTCCCAGTCTGTAGGTTGTCTTTTTACTCTTTTGGTGAAGTCTTTTGATGAGCATAAGTGTTTGATTTTTAGGAGCTCCCAGTTATCTAGTCTCTCTTCTGGTGCTTGTGCTTTGTTAGTAATGTTTTGTATTCTGTTTAGGCCATATATTAGGGCTCCTAGCATTGTCCCTATTTTTTCTTCCATGATCTTTATCATTTTAGATTTTATATTTAAGTCTTTATCTATTTTGAGTTAGTTTTTGTGCATGGTATGAAGTATGGGTCTTGTTTAATTTTTTTGCAGATGGATATCCAGTTACCATATGTTAAAGAGATTGTCTTTTCCCCAATTTACAGACATTGGGCCTTTGTTAAATATCAGCTGCTCATAGGTGGATGAATTTACGTCTGGATTCTCAATTCTGTTCCATTGGTTTATGTATCTGTTGTACCAGTCCAGGCTGTTTTGACTACCGTGACAGTATAATAGGTTCTAAAGTCAGGTAGTGTGAGGCCGCCCACTGTGTTCTTCTTCTTCAGTAATGCTTTACTTCTCTGGGGCCTCTTACCTTTCCATATGAAGTTGGTGATTTATTTCTCGATCTCATTGTACATTATTTTTTAGTGATATCAGGTAGTTTTAAACATCCCCCAAATAAAATATTTTCCCTTGATTTACATTAGAATGTAATGCTGTATCCATATATCTTTGTTTTTCTGAAAGAATTTCTTGCAGATAAGTTAGGATTGCTTTAAGAAGCAATTTCCTTGTGCCAGACCTACATTAGGAAAATCAGACTTGAATAAATGGAAACTGTCAGTGCCTCTATAATGATATCAAATTTTTTCAAGTTCATTTACAAATTCAGTATGCAAATCACATATACATACACCTTTTGATTTAGCAGTCTTCTGCGAATCTTTCCTGGTGCTATAAAATTGGTGTGCACGTGGCCATTATTTATTATGACAGTATATTAATAGCAGAAGACTAAACAAAATCCAAATGTTCGTTAGTAGCAACCTAGTTGAACAAGTATGGTACATCCACTCAGTGGAATACCATGAACTGTAAAATGGAATGAGAAGATCTCTGTATAATGCTGTGGAATGATTTCCAGGATATATTGTTAAAGTAAGAAGAGCAAAGTACAGAACAGCTGTCTTCTGTGTAAGAAAGGGGGTAAAATGTGAACATATTATATGTTGTTTATATATTTTTTAAATGGAAGAATAAATAAAAATTAATAGCTACACCAAATATATGTCATGCCTTATAATTTTTACTTTGGAATCCAGTAACTGTTATATATCATTAGAAAGCAAAATATTATATGTATATATATAAAGCAGTTCTTAAAAGTGGAAAACAAATAAATGAGCCTAATTGTTTATCAGGTTAGTGGTACCACTATGCAAAGAAGAATGATTTTAAAATACAGTATTTTACTGTATCTTTAGTTTAAGGATAGGCTGAATCGACAAAGAAACTTTGAACTGCATTCTGTAGTCTTATAGTTAGTAGTAAAATTGGAATTATTACTTTTATTACATAGAGAAATAAAGCAAATAGGTAGTTCTTCTAGTGTCACTAGAAGCTATGATTTTTAGCTTAAGAGAAAAAAGAAAAACTAGGAATTAAGTAAAAATCCTGTGACCTTTACTTTGAATCACAAATATCAGTATTAACTCTTGATTAATTTTTCTCCTTCTAAAAAATGCTTTTTTCTAGGCATGGCCAGTGAACTGGCCTAGAAGTAATAAGGAACACCTCCAATCTGGAAGCAATGAGCATCCCTTGATGGGTATAGACTCTCCACTAATAGGAACCAGGGCTCCTTAGAGAAGAATCTGAGTTCATGTCTGAGGCAACAAAAACGTATAAGATAAACCTTGGACGTTTGTAGAAGAAAGCAAAGAGTACTTAGGGTCATATCAGAAGGACAGTTTGAAGGAGCGTTCACTGGTTATCAAAAAGAAATAATGACTGCAAAAATGGAAACACATAAATATATAAAAATCATGAGTTTATAATGATACTCCTTCCCTCAAATAGTACAAAACAAAATTTATTGCTCACATTAGGAGGTTGCTAGGACAACAACTCACTTTTCTAAAAATTGGAAAATAATGAGAAAGAATCAAGTGTTTACCTTGCATTTCATTTGCAAATTACCTATATTTCAGGGTAACTTAATAATTGATGAGGAAAAGTTCTTTGTAGAAGAATTCCAACTAATCAATCCAGAAGAAATGATAAGATTAGAAAATCACTGTTTTGCCCTACCTGATGAAATCATGCATGTAGACAAAAATCAACAACATTAAGCTTAATGGGGATGGATATGCTGACACTTTGACCCACTTACCTATTTTTAACATCACCAGTCAGACATGCTTTCTGACGTGACACAATAAAATAGGGAAATTTAAACATGGCCTGGGTATTAGACAATATTAAGAAATTAATATTAGTTTTATAATAATAGTATTGTGGTTGGAAATCCTGGTGGCATGGTGGTTAAGAGCTACCACTGCTAACCAAAAGGTCAGCAGTTCGAATCCACCAGGTGATTCTTGGAAACCCTGTGGGGCAGTTCTGCTCTGTCCTATAGGGTCGCTATGACTTGGAATTGACTCAGCAGCAATGGGTTAGATTAGGTTAGGTTAGTATTATGATTATGTTATTTTTAAAAATAAATCCTCATCTGTTAGAGATATGTGCCATTGAAGATGCATAGACACTTATAGGCGATATTATTTATGAAGGCAGTTTGCTTTAAAGTAGTCCAGTAGCTCCTTCCCTCCTCCAAAAAAGGAAGGGGGAGGGTCATTGAGGAAATAAGATTATCAACCTTTTGCCTAGTTGTTGAAACTGAGTGATGGTTAATGATGGTTCATTATCTTTTTCTCTTTAATTTTGTGTATTTAAAATTTTCCGTTTTAAAAAGAAAAATCAGTTTCCTTACTTAAACCCGTTGCCATCGAGTCAATTCCAACTCATAGCGACCCTGTAGGACAGGGTACAATTGCCCCATAGGGTTTCCAAGGAGAGGCTGGTAGATTCGAACTGTAACCTTTTGGTTAGCAGCTGAGCATTAACCACTGTGCCACCAACCCTCCATTCCTTACTCAGCTATATGTAATTATACAGTATTAAATGATGAAAAAATATAAAATTGTACATACAGTTAAAACTGAAGAAAAACAGTTGAATTGAAAATAATACTTGTGGTTGTGTTGTCATTGCAGGTTCTTTTTCTTTTTATACACAAAGCCTCTAATCCAGTTACCTTTTTCTTAAATTTTTTAAAGACTGTCTCTGCATTATAGCAGCTATATTTAAAAATAGCTATATTTAAAAATAGCTGTATTTGTGCATTCTGATTACATACACTCTTTTGGCAGAGTTTTTATGTTCAAAAGCATAGCTAGCTTAAAAACTGAGACAATACCATTTTTAGGTTTTGTGAAATTTTATACATGTGTACTTGGAATTCAACAAGAAGGTATGATAATGACAGGCACTGCAAAGAAATAATTATTTGTATCTCCTTAGTGATAATGTCAACTAAATATTTTATAATGATAATATAAATAAGTACTTTAAAAATATGTGAAAATAATTTAGCCTACAACCTGGAACTCTTTTTTAGTTTTAAGACATTTTACCTTGAAAAGTCATCTATCATCTGTTAAGTTGTGAAGACAGTAGAAGAGAAAAATTGACTCCATATTAAACAGATCAGCTGATTTTTCCTGAAAACTAGTCATTTTATTAGCCCTTCTAATGATAATGAATTTTGTCTTTTTTCTTAGGAAGGCGGAGTGTTTACTTTTGGAGCTGGAGGTTATGGGCAGTTGGGTCATAACTCTACCAGTCATGAAATAAACCCAAGGAAAGTTTTTGAACTTATGGGAAGCATTGTTACTCAGATTGCTTGTGGAAGGTAAGCTATTATATAAAAGAATATTTTGGACTTTGTAACACTCACAATTGTGTAACAAATTGTTTGGGGATCTAGTAATCTAAACTAAAAACATTCTCTCATAAATGCCTAATTTGCTGCTACGAAGTCATAGTAACAGAAGAAACATCTTTTATACTGAATCTTTACCTATTTCTCCTTAAAACAAATTTGTCTGAGGCAAGATGTTAATATATATCTATTACTGTGTTTATTGTACATACCATCACACTTGAAGCATAACTGTAGTTCATCTTTTTTCCCTTTTTTTGTCTATGAGGAAATTTAACAGTAGTAATTAATTTTTTAAGAATTAAGATTAGTTAGTCAGTGATGGAAATTGAAGTGGAATCCTGATCTGATTCTTGGGAATAAATAGAAGACATAGAGCTTTGAAGCTGAGCTTCACCAAATGAAGAAAACCAAAGACACAAGGGAAAGATTAGTCCAAAGGACTAATCTACCACGACTACCACAACCTCTACCAGACTGAGTCCAGCACAACTAGATGGTGCCCGGCTATCACCTCTGACTACTCTGACAGGGATCACAATAGAGGGTCCCGGACAGAGCTGGAGAAAAATGCAGAACAAAATTCTAACTCATAAAAAAAGACCGGAGTTACTGGCCTGACAGAGACTGGAGAAACCCTAAGAGTATGGCCCCTGGACATCCTTTTAACTCAGTACTGAAGTCACTCTTGAGGGTCACCCTTCAGCCAAAGGTTAGACAGGCCCAAAAAACAAGACTAAAGGGGCACACTCGCCCAGGGACAAGGACTAGAAGGCAGCAGGGGACAGGAAAGCTGGTAATAGGGAACCCAAGGTCAAGAAGGGGAGAGTGTTGACATGCCATGGGGTTGATAACCAGTGTCACAAAACAGTATGTGTGGTAATTGTTTAATGAGAAGCTAGTTTGTTCTGTAAACCTTCATCTAAAGTATAATTAAAAAAACCAAACCAGTTACTGTCGAGTCAGCTCTGACTCATGGCAACTTCATGTGTGTCAGAAAAAAAAGAAGAGAAATTGAGCTTCACCTCCAGTGAATTAAGTTGGGCAGACTCATAAGTAGCAAAATGTGTCTTCTTAACCACTAGCTTAATTTTTTCCCACCTTGTGTGTATCTCTATGCAGTAGTTTTGCCAGTTGTTAATTTCAGATGGAATCTCTGTAGGTATTCTTCTGTCATTCTTTTTTCCCCCTCAACATCGTGCTTGTTAACGTTATGTGTAGCTTTGCTACCATTAGTTCTCATTATTTTATTTAGTTATATGACTATGATAATTTATTTACTCACCAGCTTTCCTATCTCCTTCTGCCTTCTAGTCCTTGTCTCTGAACTCCTGTGCCTTGTTAGTCCTGTTTTGTTTAATGGGGCTGTCCAGTCCCTGGCTGAATGGTGAACCTCGGAAGTGACTTCACTACTGAGCTAAAAGGGTGTCTGGGGGCCGTACTCTCGGGGTTTCTCCAATTTCTTTCAGGCCAGTAAATCTGGTCTTTTTTGTATGTGTTAGAATTTTGTTCTGCATCCTTCTCCAGCTCTGTCCAGAACCCTCTGTTGTGAACCCGTTTAGAGCAGTCAGTGGTGGTAGCCAGCCACCATCTAGCTGTACTGGACTCAGTCTGGTGGAGGCCTTGGTAGCTGTGGTCTATTAGTCCTTTGGGATAATCTTTTCCTTGTATCCTGTTCTCTTCATTCTCCCTTGCTCCGGAAGGGGTGAGACCAGTGGAGTATCTTAGATGGCTGCTCACAGGCTTTTAAGACCCCGGATGCTACTCATCAAGGTAGAGTGTAGAACATTGACTTTATAAACTGTTTTAATGCCAATTGAGCTAGATGTTCCCCGAGACCATGGTCCCCACAGCCCTCCGCCCAGCAATTCAGTCCCTCAGGGAGTTTGGATGTGTCTATGGAGATTCCATGACCTTTCCTTGTACAGGTTGTGCTGGCTTCCCCAGTATTGTGTACTGTCTCACCCTTCACCAAAGCTACCACTTATCTGTTGTCTATTTAGTATTTACCCCCACCCTTCCCATCTCTCATAACCAACGAAGATTGTTACTTTTTGTGTGTAAACTTTTTCAAGAGTTTTTACAGTACAGGTCTCATACAATATTTGTCCTTTTGTGATTGACTTATTTCACTCAGCGTAATGGCCTCCAGTTTCATCTGTGTTATGAGATGCTTCACAGATTCATCATTGTTCTTTATCGTTGTGTAGTACGCCATTGTGTGTATGTAGCGTAGTTTATCCGTTTATCTGTTGATGGGCATCTAGGTTGTTTCCATCTTATTGCTATTGTGAACGATGCTGCCATGAACATGGGTGTGCAGGTACGTTTATATAATTTTCTTGCCTTGTTGTGCTGACTGGGACACCAGTATAATGTTGACTAGAAGTGCTGAAGAGTGAGACATCCCTGTCTTATTTCCTTTCCCTGGGAAAACTTTCACTATTTCACAATTAAGTATCATGTTTGCTGTAAACTTTTGTAGATACTCTTAGATTAAGCAATTTCTCTTCTATTCCTTATTTGCTAAGAGTTTTTAATCATGAATGTATGTTAAGTTTTTATGATTGCTCTTTCTCCATCTATTGAGATGATTATATGATTTTTTTCCCTTTAATTTGTTTATGTGGTGGAGATATTGATGGGTTTTTCTAATTAAATCAGCTCTGTTTTATTGAAATACTTCCAATTTGGTAATCATCCTTTTTTATAGTGTTGGATTTGGTTGGCTAGTATTCTGTTTAGTATTATTTGTATATATGTTTATCAGTGAGGTTCACCTCTAATTTTCCATTATTATTCTCTGTGACAGATTTTATTATCAAGATTATTCTAGTCTCATAAATTGAGGAACATAACTCTTCTATTTTGTTAAAATAAGTTGGTAGAACTTGTCATTAAAACCATTTGGGCCTTGCATTTTCTTTTTTGTAGTTTTAAGAATATTCTTCCAATATTTAATGGTTATAACACATTTTTAAATTTCTTCTTGAGTCATTTATTTGCAAGTTAATTTTTCTAGGAGTTTTTCCATTTTGCCTAAATATTAAACTTATCGACGTAAAGTTTACAATATCTGTTTTGGTCTATTGCTGTGCAAAAACATCTCAGTGACGTACAATAATAAATGTTGATTGCTTTCTCTGTGAATTGGCTGAGGTGATTCTTCTTTGGGTTATGGATCAGCTGGAGTGCCTCTTGTTCTCGCTGCACATCAGCAGAGCAGCTTTATTTCAAGCTGTAGGTCTCTTGGGGTGGCATTATTAGGCTGTGGTTCAGCTGGGGTAGCTTTGTTACACATCTCAATCTTAGGCCCAATCCAGAGGGGCATTGGCTTCCTCTGGGGCATTTTATTCTCATGATGATGGCAGATATACAAGAAGTCAAGTTCAGCTGCACAGACACACCTAAAGTTTCTGCTTGCATCACATTCACTAAATCCTGTTGGCCAAAAGTAAGTTACATGGCCAACCCCAATGTCAAGGTACGGGGAATACATGCTGCCCGAGACCATGACAAAGAATATGCACGGTTAATACTGCAAGATAGTGAAGAACTGGGATTAGTGGTTCGATTTACCACACAGTATTTTTCATATTTGAAACATCTATAGTCATATCTCTTTTTTTAATTGTTACTAATCCTTACTTTCTTACTCTCTCTTTAGAAATCAGTCTTTCCAGAGGTTTGTCAGTTTATTAGTCTTTTCAGAGTATCAACTTTTCATCTTTATGATTCATATTTTATGCATGATTTCATTTCCTACATTTTAGCCTTTTCCTTTATTAATTAATTCAGTTGTGGGATGCAGTGTTCTGTGTACGTCCATTAGGTCAGGTTTATTAACAATGTTCAAATCTTCTGTATGTTCAATTGTTTTTGTTTGCTCATTTTTTATTTCTCCTTGTAGGTCTGTCAAGTTTTGATTTTGCTGTTGAGGCTATGCTCTTAAGTGCTACAGTGAACATTTTATTTCTTTTGCTACAGTTAACATTTTAGCTCTTCCTGATGAATTGAACCTTTTGATGTTGTAATGTTGATCCTCTGGATCTCTAAAATATTTTTTTTTTTTCCCCTTAAAATCTGTTTTATCTGACATTAATATACCTACACCAACTTTTCTTTTGATAATGTTTACCTGGGATATATTTTTTCCATTCTTTGTCTTCCTGTGTTTTAGATGAGCCTCTTGTAAACAGCATTAAGTTAGGGTTTGTTTTTTTTTTTTTTTTAAATCCGGTCTGACAATCTTTGTCTTATTAATGGACCATTTTGTTGCCTTATTATTTTCTTTATAATTATTAATTTATTTGGGTTTAAACTTGCCATCATATTTTGTTCTGTTTGTGGCACCTATTCTGTTTTTCTCTCTTCTTTTTTGCCTTTCTTTGGGTTGATAATTTTTTTAATTTTATTTTTCCCCTCTACTAGCGTGGAAAATACACCCTTATTTTAATGGTTACCACAGAAATAACAGCATTTATTCTTAACTTACATTAATCACTACCTTTGCCTTTTTCTAGACAAAATAAGAATCTCCACTTACCCTTCCCAGTTTTTCATTCTATGTATTTTTTAAACCCAACAAGAACATTGCTTTGTATAATCAGTGTATGTTTAGAAATGCATATACATTTACCACTTTTTTGTTCTTCATACCTTCCAAGTGGTATCATTTTCCTTTTGTCTCACCATCCTCTGGGATTTTCTTGGGTGTGGATCTGCAGGTAGCAGACACTCCTTTTCTCTGTATCTGAAAGTGTCTTTATTTCACCTTCATTCTTGCATGATATTTTTACTGGGTATAGGATTCTAGCTTGGCAGTTAATTTCTTTTAGCACTTTGGACGGTAGCATTCCACTCTCTTTTGACTTTAGTTGTTACTGTTGAGAAGTCAGCTGTTAGTCACTATGTTGCTCCTTTGAGGTAAACGATCTCTTTTTCTCTAGTCATTTTTTAAGATTATTTTTGTTCTCACCCCCTCTGTCTCTTTCTCTTCTTCAGTTTTGCTATCATTTGACAAGGTATGGATTTCCTCTTATTTTCTTATTGGGCTTCTTGAATCTTGATTAATATCTTTGATCAGGTATGAAAAATTTTAAGTTACCTCTTCAGCTATAGCTTCTGTCTTAACTCTCCTCTTCTTGTGAGACCTTGGATGTATGTTAAATCTTCTTGCTCTACCCTGTAGCCTTTTGCTCTCTTTACCTGTTCTCCACTTTTTTTGCTCCCTCTTTGCTGCCTTCTTGATTGTTTTTATGATTTATATTACAGCTCATTAATTCTCCTGCTATATATTCTTTTGGTTAAATACATCCTTTGAGATCGTGATTTTGGTTATTGTGGTTTTTCACTTCTACTATTTCTTACAGGTTCTATTTAAAATCTGAAATGCCTTTTTTATTTTAAGGTTTCCAGTTTTGTGTCAGTTTTCAAGCTTGGCTCTTATTTCTTTGGACATTAAGCAGCTATTTAAGCATAGTTGTTCTAGACTCTTGTTTTGATAATCCAGTATCTGAAATCAATAGGGATTTATTTCTGTTGTTTCTTCTTTTTGCTGGATTTTGTTCATTGTGTCCTGTTTATTTGTACACCTGGTTTTGTATGCTTGACTGTGTATCTGGTAAATTATTTATGGGACTGATTTGACAAAGACTTTCCTTTTCCCATGTATAAATCAGTATATATATAAAAGGTAAATAAAAACTCCACATATAAGTGATTAGGGGTGCTTACTATCAAAATCTTGTTCAGACTGTTGAAGAGTTACACATGAATATATATTTCCAGAAGTGTAGAGAGTTTACTTGTTTATCCATTTAAAGAGTATAAGGCAATATTTTTAGGTAATTTTTTTTCTGGTGAAATATTTCATCATTCCTTGTGAAATAGTATACAAATTTTTAAATATTATCTAATTTTGTAATTCTTAACAGCTAAAATGTGCATGATTTGAATAGTTATTCTTTGCTTTGTAAACCCAGTTCTTTCCATCAGTTTTATTCATTTAACTGTTCGGTCAGGGAGAAATTTCAGTTATATACCGAGTGAGATCTATGGACGTCCCTTTTGAGGGACCATATTTTGACCAGTTTGACTTCCAGGTGGCCAGTACTCTAACAACTATGTTTTAGTTTCTTATTGCATAACTGTCAAAAACCTCCCAAAAGGAGGCATTTGTGGAGCACCAGAAATGTGAATCCACCAAAGAGATGATCCAAAAGCAAAAGGTTCAAATTCTAATAGTGTAATAGCGTAGTGTCTGTGAACTATTCTATCCAATCTAGGACTTTTCTCTATCATCACTTAGAGAGTTTTTCTGAAATGTATATTGTTGCCTAGGTTCACTCCTAGGTGATTCCAGTATGTAGCCAGGGTTAATAACCACTGGTTTAGTAGACTCAATTTGAGGAGGAGTTTAATAAACCGGTATTGCAGTCATTTTCAAACTCTTAACATATTCCTTTGAGATTTCACAGTGGCTGCTTCCTGAGGGAGGCAGAATAGGCAATGTTCGTTCTTCAGAGTGGTTTCAGTCTATTTCATATGCAAGGATTCCATTTAACATTTTCCTTTGTTAAAAGAGTATCCCTGCTTTAAAAAAGTTTGGCCAGTGTTGGCTCATCTGGCTCATAGGCAGATTCTATTTAGTTTTCCAGTAACATGGAAGACTAGATACTTGAAACCCTTCTGAATCAAAACACCATTTAAATAGCATGGATGGTTTTGCCAGGAAGTAAGGGAAATCCTCAGTCCCCAAACAAAAAAATCTGACAACCATAGCTGTTAGTTAAGAGCTCGGCTGCCAACCAAAAGGTCGGCAGTTTGAATCCACCAGCCACTCTTTGGAAACCCTGTGGGACAGTTCTGCTCTGTCCTGTAGGGTCGCTATGAGTCAGAATTGACTCCATGGCAGTGGGGTTTTAGTTTGAGCTGACTTGGGAACTGCCCTGAAAGAATTTGTCAATCTAGGTGATGTATTAATTAGCTAATACTTTTAAACAAACCACCCCAAAACTGGGCCAGAGCTCAGATTTGAGATATGGAGAAGTAGATTCCCCATCGTGATGGGAACAACTGCAAAAGTCATAAAGGATATGGATATAGGGAGAGGAATAATTGTGGCCATTTTTATAAATAGTGTGCCATAAGATGATAAAGGAGTTTGGGACAGGAAATGAGACCTGAAGCCTGATAGAAGCAGAAGTGAGACCTGAGAAACCATCTCCTTCCAATCAAACCACCTCAAGAAAAGGATAGACAATGAAATATTCCCCTACTGGCATATTCTTTCTTGGTCTGGTTTCTGACTTGCATATCCCCTGAGAATTTGTAATCACAGGGCTGCCCTAAGGTGGGAATGGGGCTTGATTTTAACTACCTGTGACCTGAAAACCTTATAATCTAAGAAATTAACACAAAATAGTCCTGGGTTGGTGTATATGTATTATATTTCACAACATGTAAAGGGTTTTAAATGAAATAAAAGACTTAGTAGATTTGGGGGAGAAAAAAAAACTTCTAGAAATGGGAAAAAACAGTCATTGAAATTAAAAATTCAGTGGATAGGTAAAGCAGCTGGTTGGACACACTGCTAACAAGAAAAGTAGTGAATTGAAAGCTAGATTCAGGGAAATTACAAGGGGCATGGAGGGAAAAAGAATAGAAAATATGAGAGATTTAAAAAAAAAAAAAAAAAACCATTGCCATTGTCAATTCTGACTGATAGCGACCCTAAAGGACAGAGTAGAACTGCTCCATAGGGTCTCCAAAGGAGCACCTGGTGGATTCAAACTGCTGACTTTTTGGTTAGCAGTGTAGCTTTTAACCACTGTACCACCAAGGCGTCCATTAAGAGATTAGAAGGGTATATTAGGAAGGTCCAACATTTGTCTAATACTATTCTAGAAGAAGATAGAATGAATAGGAGAGAGGCAATATTTACAGAAATAGTGGTTTTCCAGACTTGAAGATAATGAAACTTGAGCTGGATAATCACATTTAATCATTCCTAAATACACAGTAGTAAAACATTACTGGTTACTGAGAGTAGATAGATGGATCTTTCACCTTCAGTTCTGCAGTTTCTTTGTTTTGCTCCCACCCTAGTACTTCCAGAAGGGTCTGAGTGCATACAAATAGGAATCGGCTTCCCCAAAAGAAAGGAAACATTGTATCTATCGTACAGTGGTATATATGCTAGACATTCTGATTGGATTACTCCCCCAGCTGTTAACCTAAAACTTTTGGGTGGAATCCAAACGCTGGGCCTTCGTAGGCCATAGCACTAGGCTAGAAACTGACAGGTAGGGAAGGATGGTAGGGAACTTCCTCGGACTGCATAGTTAAATGCTACCTCTAGTGCCGTTTCATCTCTTACAAGGGATTCTAATGTGAATGTAGACCTTTTAAAATTTGAATATTTGTGGAAATTTTCTGGACTATGCTTATGCTGTCTACCTGTGTGGAACAGGTCTTTCAGTATAGGGTAAAGTTGTTAAAATATTTTATATAGAAATTTTAGAACTGAAATGGTTTTACTGATAAACGTACTTTTAAGAGAATACTTTCATTAGTTAATATTTGCTATGATTTTTTAAACATAAGTTGCTTGGAAAGTAAAATTAAGTCTGAAGTTTTCTATCATTTTACTCTAGGCAGCACACTTCTGCTTTTGTTCCTTCATCAGGACGAATTTATTCTTTTGGACTTGGTGGTAATGGGCAGCTAGGAACTGGTTCAACAAGCAACAGAAAAAGTCCTTTCACTGTAAAAGGAAATTGGTTACCTTATAATGGGCAGTGTCCACCAGATATTGGTAAGTTCTGTAATATTAAAGCTTTGCTATACACATTACAGTTCTTATTAAAATGCTGCTTTTAAATGATGAAACTTTCTATGTCAAGTGGAAGAATTCCAAGATATATCATTAAGTGAAAATTGAAAGATGCAGAAAAATGTATGTTGTTAGTTTGTTTATATTTGCTTATATATATATAAGGAAACTCTGCATAAATAAAATAATAAAGGAGTATCAGGGGATAGGGCATATGGGAACTGGGTGGTGGCTAGATACCAATGAGAGGGAGTTTTTTTATTGTATACCATTTTCTTTTCTTTTTTTAAAAATTTGAGCCATAGGAATATATTACCTATTCAGAATAATAATTTTAATTTGCTTTTGTACCCCTGCTACTTTAGCTAAACCTGATTTATTTTTATTTTCTGTTATTCTTTCAGTAGATATGATTTTTTCATTAACATTAATTTACTACTTAAAGATTTTAAAATTTCGAACACTGTTAACCTCATTCGCTTTTTTAACGCACTGCAACCAAAGTATATTTTACTTTTCCATATTTCTTTTACCATTCCAAACTTTTACTCAAAATTTTTTATTTATTTTATCTATATCTGATTTAACATATGTATAAGCCAGTCAGAACAGAGCTTCTTTAATTTAAGAGGCTTTGTACTGTAACTTATTGATACCCTTCTGAGATAGGTAAACATTACAGTCTCATACTATGAGACTGTGAGAGCGGTAAAGGCCTTTTTGAATTATAGAGACATAAATATACAGCTACATGGAGAGCGTATTGCTTCAGTTCTATGATTTTGACCACAGGTCAAGAAACACAGAACACATAGGAACACAAAAAGTCACTAGTCCGTAAATCAAGGAGCTATTCTCCTTCCTTATGGACATGAAATTCTTACTTGATTTGACCTCAGTATGTTGTTGTTACTAGCTGTCATCGAGTCAGCCCCTGAGTCATGGCGATTCCGTTTATAACAGAATGAAACATTGCCCAGTCTCACGCCATCCCCATGGTCGGGGGCGGATTACCCAGTAAGCAAGGTAAGCATGGGCTTCCTTGTGCTTACTTACTAGTCTGTAGTGAACAAATTCACATGGTTTCACTACATCACTGGGTAATCCATCCCTGTCAGGGATTGTAAATTTGAAAAGAGCGTTTGATTCTGTAGGAGGGTGCTCTGGGTAGGGGAGAGACAGATGCCAGCTATACCTAGAAGCAGAATTGTTGATGTGGTGAAAAAATGTGAAATTGTTCCCTATAGATGATCTGGTAAGCAAGGTAAGCACTGTTGCTTATCTTGCCTATTGGTTAATCCTCCCCTGCCCAGGACCCATGGGGTTTTCATTGACCTGATTTCCAGAAGTAGATCACTAGGCCTTTTTCATAGCCTGGTAGTTCTGCTGAAACATGTTCAGTGTCATAGCAACATGCAAGTTTCCATTGACAGACGAGTGGTGGCTGCTCATGAGGTGCAGTGTCCCGGAATCAAACTCAGGTATGGAAGGCGAGAATTCTGACACTGAACCACCAGTGCCCCCAACCAGTTGCTGTTGAGTCAACTCTGACTCGGAGCGGCTCCATGCATTTCAGAGTAGAACTGTGCTCCACAGGATTTTCAATGGCTAAATTTTTGGAAGTAGATCGCCAGGCCTTTCTTCCAAGGCGCTCTGGATAGAATCAAACTTCTAACATTTCGATTAGCAGCTGAATGTGTTAACTGTTTGCACCACCTAGGGACTCCTGCTCTCAATAAAGACCAAAAAAAAAATTTTTTTTTTGATTCACCAACCATATTTTCTGTCCTTTATCAATTAAGAATAGAATTCTATAATCCATTAATACATTTACAGAATTCACCATAAAACTAAATTCTAATCATTGTTACTGTCAGTGAGGAATAACTTATTGGGTATAGACAAACCAAAGAAAAACACAAAATCAGTAGAATAGAGGAAAAAGCTAGAGGAGCAGAGAGTCAGCAAATTTCTGTTGGCACTTGGACTTAACCTGGACATAAGCCTTACTACCCCCACAAGGTTTATTTCTCCCACAGTGCAGGTGAATCCATTGGGTATCTCATTGGGACCTCCAGAACTCTTTGAAAGATAATTTGTTTAAGTAAACATAATTCTAATAAAATTATCAAATGAACACATGTCAAAGATTTTATTTAATTCATTAATTAATGAACTAGTAATATATTACAACTAGATCAAAGGAAAAGTCAAAGAAACATACTTATATTGGCAAATAAGGAATGCTGAAATGAATTTAGAAATAGACACAAAACTAGCTTTTTCCACAGGAGGAAGAGAAATACATTATCTCTCCATCAGACAGAACTCATTAGAATGTCAATGGGCAAGAGTCCATTGCATTACTATCAATTACCTACAATTTTGTTGTTATTAGTTGCCCTTAAGTTGTCCAGACTCATGGCAACCTTATATATAATAGAACAAAACATCACCCCTTCCTGGGTCATCTTCATGATCATTGGTATGTTTGAGTCCATTGTTGCAGCTATTGTGTCAGTCCATCTCGTTGAAGATTTCTGTTATTTTTGTTGGCCCTCTATTTTACCAGACATGATGTTCTTTCCTAGCAAGTGGTCTTTTCTGGTATTGTATCCAAAGTAAACAAGCCAGAATCTTGACATCCTCGCTTCTGGAGAGCATTCTGGTTGTCTTTCTTCTAAGAAGACTGATTGTTCGTTCTTTTGGTAGTCCATGGTGTCTTCAGTCTTCTGTAATTTGAGCTCATCAGTTTTCTTCTTTTTCACTCTGCAACTTTCATGTGCATATGAGACAATTGAAGAAAACGTGGCTTGGGTCAGAAACACCTTAGTCAATTTACAAAATTGTAAATAGCTCTAAGACAGTGAAAGATGAAGATATTCCTGAATGATGTCCTGATTGAGACACTTAATAATTTTTTTTAAATTTCTAAGTCTTCACAATTTTTCCTGACAGTGTATTTTATAAAGAAGAGTAAGAAAATGAACTAATCCTCATAAATATTGCAACATACAGTATACATATACCATAAAATTATAACAGATCAGATTATTGGTGTTCAGATATACATTCCGGTTAAAATAATGTGATGAAAAGTCCAGGGGGGACAAATCCTTATATAGGGATTACATATAGGTCTTGTTTCAAGTTCACACTCTAGTTGATTGGTAATGGTTGCTTGGAGATGTGCTGGGTAGGACTTTCAGGACACTTTTTGGGCAGAAAAAGAGAGCCAAGATTGTTTAGAGTTGTGTGTTACAGGTGAAGTGGTAGTGCCTTTTTTATAAACTTTTTTAAAAAAAGTCATCACTCATCTGTATAGGGTGTCCCTGGGTGGTGCATACGGTTAACAGGCTTAGCTGCTAACTGAAAGGTTGAAGGTTTAAGTTTATCATTGGCACCTCAGAAGAAAGGCCGGGCACTCTACTTCTGAACAATCAGCCATTAAAAACTCTATGGAGCACACTTCTACTGTGACACACATGGGATCACCATGAGTCAATTGACTCCATGGCAACTCGTTAATTTGTAAAGAAAAAAACCAAAACCAAACCGATTGCCATCAAATCAGTTCCAACTTATAGCGGCCCTATAGGACAGAGTAGAACTGCCCCATAGGGTTCCTGAGGAGCGGCTGGTGAATTCAAACTGCTGACCTTTTGGTTAACAGCTGAGCTCTTAACCACTGTGCCACCAGGGAGAAGGGGTAAGAGTCACTCAACACAAAAATGAGAGGGTGAGGAGTCAGTTTAGATCCTAACTCCACAATATACACTAAAATGAAGTATAAATAGTTAAATGTAAAAAATTCATAAGATAGTTAAGGAAATTATTGTTATTTGAGAATGGAAAAAGCTTTTCTCAGCATAAAAGTAAGGCAAATCATCCTAAAGAATTCGATAAATTCATTTGATTAAATAGGAAGTAGTTAAATCTGTAAGTCAAAACATGAATAGAATTAAACAATTGTTTGGGAAAAATATTTGCAGCAGATACAATTTAGGTTAATAGTTTGAATATCCAAACTGCTGATACATGTTGATGAGACAAACAGTAAGAGAATAAGAAAAACAAGTAAGTAAATAAATAGAAAGGATCAAGTATTTATCCTTCCTTCCCTACCACATTATGAAGTAGATATGAGGAAGTTAGTGTTACAACTAGAAGATTAAGAAGGAATGCTAGCATTTCACCATTTTCCAATCCACAATGAATTAGTAGTCTTTAAGGATTTAGCATCAGTGGTAGTTAACATTACAAAAATGAACTGAACCAGACATGTGTTTCCTAAGGAAAGAATACCTCCCCCCACCCCGAATTATGTAAGTAATTTTGGCAAAATAATCCTGCTGATGGAAGTCCCTCTAGATTCAACCAGTTTACAAGAAATTTAGAAGACCAAACAAAACGTTAAGAAAAGCCACAGGAATACAATGGGCAAAATTCATCTGCAGGAAGTTCCACAGGACAAATTACTGGGTTTCAAACATTTTTTGGAGTAATAATTATAAGGAAAATAACTTTTGGTATCCAACTCACAGCCCCCTAAACCAATCTGTGTCCTATAGATTAATCATCCCTCTTCTAGGGAATTATTTATAGAGGGCAAATCACGTTTTAGCAATAAGTAACAACCTGCTAAATCTTAAGGAAGTGAACAGTTTCATGTAGACTTGTTAAACTTATGTAGAGAAAAGGTTTTAAATCTGATGATTGACTTATTTAATATTTTAGATTTACCCTTTTAAATCTGTGCCTAAAAGTTGTTTTTGGCCTTAGGGCATTTTTGTGACTTGTGAAAATTTTGGTCATATTAATTGTCTGGTCTCTGAAGCCCTTGTTATTAGTATATTCTAAGGTAGATAAAAATTATTTTATATTCATATTAACAAGTATTTATTGAGCTCTCTTACAAGTAAAACATTGTGCTAGGAAATAATCATATTGAAATTATTCTTGAAAATAATTTATAGTTCTGTAGTAACCATGGTCACAAATAATACAAGGTGAAGAGTTAGCTGAGCGTGATAGTTCAGGAGTAGCATGACAGAGATAGATTATATTTGGAAGTAATCAGCTTTAAATTACAAAATGGATCTTTGGTGTTTTGGTATAAGGAGCCCTGGTGGCACAGTGGTTAAGTGCATGGCTGCTAACTGAAAGGTTGGCACTTTAAACCCACCAGGCGCTCCTTGGGAGAAAAGACCTGGTGATCTGCTCCCATAAGGATTACAGCCTATGAAACCCTATTGGGCAGTTCTGCTCTGTCACAGAGGGTCGCTATGAGTTGGAATCGACTGGATGGCACACAACAACAACCTCTAAATACCAGCCCAGCAGCATTTTAGATAGTACTATTTCCAGTTGTGGTACAAAAGAGAAGAATAGGGAAGAGACCTTGAATATTTTTTTATTTGCTCCAACTCAGTTTGCTTATTGATTTTTACTCCCTTAGATCTAATTTATTTTTTTATTGCCAAATAGCTGTGAACAAAAAAGCTGTGTGTGTCATATTACTTTTGTACAGTTATATTAACAGAGAAGATAATTTTACATTTATGAAATATTTACAAGAAGTTATAACACTTGTTTATCTTTCTTGATAAGAGTGAATATTCTTAACTTTTATTTTCTTCTGAGCTATCTTTGAAAGCTTTCACTCCATTTTTACATTATCTTCAGTTTGAGCTAATACATTGAAATAACAAAGATACACACTAGAAAATACAATTTTTTTGTGTGCCGGACAGAAAAAAACTTGTAAACTTAACCAAGTGCTGTTTATGCTTGTGGGATTATTTAATGTACAACGCTTGGTCAGTTTCTTCCCCATGGATGAAAAGTCTACTTAAGTTAGATGATTCAGAGAAAATCAAAAAGCATATTTGAGGCCATCCAAGGTGCAACAGTTGGTCTCTGTTTGCTTGGAGCAACAGAGGAAGAAGAAGAGTCAGGAGGAGGAGGAGGAAATGGAATGTGTGGCTGATTGCCTCTATAAAAAACTGCCTCCTTGACCGTGAGACCGGAGCTGTGTATGAACCCCGGAAACTGTTGCCCTGAGATAATGTTTAAACCTTAAGCCAAAAAATGTCCCCTGAAGTCTTAAAACCAAACAGTAGTATAGCTTAAGTAGTAAAAAAAATGTCTGCTGTCAGCTGTTTTAAGAACTGTCTATATGGGATCGAAGTAACAACAGCAACTTGAAAGATTACATAGGAACCTTAGGGGGCACTGAGTTTATGTTAACGGGAGGAAAAGCTCAGAAAAGGAGGGTGAGAACAGTTGCACAACTCAAAGAATGTAATCACTGTCACTGAACTGTACGTGTAGAAACAATTGAATTGGTGTATGTTTTGCTATGTCGTATTCTCAACAACAAAATTTTTTTTTTTAAAACATTTGATGTTCTGGAAAAATGTGATATAAATCTTAGTTTTTTGTTTTTTTTTTTAAACACAGATTATGAAGACTATTTCTGTGTAAAAAGAATTTTCTCAGGTGGAGATCAAAGCTTTTCACATTACTCTAGTCCCCAGGTAACAATATGGTCATATAAATTATTACTAGGCTCAAATAATTTTGAAGAATTTTAAAACCCATTTTTGGAGACATATTATTTTTTATGTGTTACAAATAATTGTTTTTTAAAAATCTTTTTTCTCAGATCTGCAAAATAGAATATTTTCTATTTTTAGTAGTTGAGTAGTTACATATTTACTTTATGTTTTTTAAAAAAATATATATGGGAACATGTCTTGGTTTTAAGTTATTTATAATATCTTCTTTTCTCTTTGACTAATCCGCTTATTTTAAATTTTAGAACTGTGGCCCACCAGATGACTTTAGATGTCCTGATCCTTCAAAGCAGATCTGGACTGTAAATGAAGCTCTAGTTCAGAAATGGCTGAGCTACCCTTCTGGAAGAGTTCCTGTGGAGATAGCCAAGTAAGAAAACCTTTCACCTTCACAAACATACATGAACACAATCTCCTGGGCTCCTCCAAATATAGAACAGCTTTTACTTGGGGTTTTCATTTAAACTCACTAACTGGTTTATATACAAAAGTTTCAATGTCTAGAATTTCCATAATAATAGATTTTTTTAAAGACCTCATTTAAATGTATATAATTTGCACTTCTTTCATACACGTAAAGATTCCTTTAAGGATAACTTAAAACATAAATAGAACCACTTTAGGACTGGGTTTGAAGTGTATTCCTTCTGACTTCATAGTGATCACTATCTTTTAACTTTTATACCACCTGAAATGATTTGAGTATTATTTCTTGAATATTTTACTTATAGGTTAACTTTCTTAGTAGTTGTTGATTTGTTTTTTGATGATGGTGCTATTTGGGATAGGGAGCTTTGATAGGCTGGTTTTTATTCTAGATTGTTTTTCCAAACTAAAGCTTTTCTGAAACGCACAGAGAGCAGCCTTCAAAAAACTATCATCCCTGTTCAATTCACCACTTGTGGAATTTCTTCAATGTTCATGTTTATGTAAAAAAAAAAAAAAAAAACTTTCAAGTATGTAACAATTTTTTAAAGAATATCACATTATTTTGATGAATTAGAAGGATGAAAGTAATATTTGAGAAAGTCTAGATTAAATGGTAATACTTTTATCAAGTAATATTTAATCAATTTTTAGTAATTTATGTAATTCTGATTTAGTCTAATTGGGTGTCAGAGGAGTGCTCTGTAGCATTAAATATTAAACATTCATTTTAATTTCTATTTAAAAAAGAAAAGTTAAATTTCTTATTTTGTTACTTTTGGATTGTTGAATTTTTTAGTGAGATAGATGGAACATTTTCCTCCTCTGGTTGCCTAAATGGAAGTTTTTTAGCTGTTAGGTAAGTAACAATTCCTTGGTATGCTGAAATTTTCAAATTTTATTATGGTAAATAAGGAGTGAAATAATTTGGAATTGAATTAAAAATACATATATTTTTGCTTTTGTTTTCAAGCAATGATGATCACTATAGAACAGGCACCAGATTTTCAGGGGTTGATATGACTGCTGCTAGGCTTTTATTCCACAAACTTATACAACCTGATCATCCTCAGATATCTCAGCAGGTTTGTTTTTAAAATACAATTGTGTTATTTAGCCTGATAAGTTTTTCATTCCATGTTATTTTATGTGTTCATAGCGTGATTAACTTTACAGTTTCATAGACTCTTCATTATGATATATTTTGTGTGATTTTATTAAATATACTAAAATAAGATAAGAATGAGATTTCACTTTAAAGCATTTGCAATTTAGCTGTCAAGTATCTATATAAATTTTTCCAAACCTTTGTAATTAACCGTTGATTACTTAACATTACCATGTTGGTTAAGTGTTTTTATAGCTATAGAGGTGTAGAGAGTTTAACTTGAGATTTGCATACAAGATTTTTTGCGTTCTCTTAGCATACGCAGGCATTAATTTTCATCGTGTTCCAGAGTACATTAGTTGTAAGACATTATCTTTTTTCTTCTTCACTGTTTCACGTTTGCTATAGTACAAGACTTTTCTTTTTCTTTCTTTTTTGTTTTGGAAGTACATTCATTTTAAATGAAGTAGGTTTTACTTTTTGTCAAAATATAGGTGGCAGCTAGTTTGGAAAAGAATCTTATTCCTAAACTGACTAGCTCCTTACCTGATGTTGAAGCACTGAGGTTTTATCTTACTCTACCAGAATGTCCCCTGATGAGTGATTCCAACAATTTCACAACAATAGCAATTCCCTTTGGTACAGCTCTTGTGAACCTAGAAAAGGCACCACTGAAAGTACTTGGTAAGAATTTTAATATTACTTTCTTTTGAAACCTTTTCTCTTTAAATGAAAGTGCCCAAAAGTTCTTACTATTTTGCCATTTCAAATTTTGCTGTCTTACTTATTTGACATCGTCTTAGGAACAAATAAATCTGTTTTTGCTTTTGTTGCTTTATAATACTGTTTGGTGCCAGTTGTTGAAGGCAAAGCATGTTAGATACTAGAATTTTAATCAAACACAACAGCAGAGACAGTGTCAGGAAAGAGAAAAACTGTTTTCCATACTCCCTTCCCTCATCCCCTGCAGAATGATCTTGCTATTAAAGAAGTAAAAGAGTTTGTTCAATTAAAATTGAAGATACATGGCTATTAAATCCTTTTGAGGTCAAATGTCAACCCTTTGCCTTGTGTCTTCTTCACTTGCTGCTGTTTGATTTTATTTCTCTGCATGGAGAAGAGATTCTACTGCTCAGCTGATGTTGCAGTTCTGTCTCTTTATCTGCTCCGTGTTTCTGGCATAAATTTTTCTTACCTTGATTTTTCTAATTATATGGATTCTAGCTCTATTTCCTGGTGTTTATAGTTTGCTTGCTGCCTTTAACCCAGTGCTTTCCTTCCTAAATAGTATTTTCCAGATATGTGGAGCTGCGATATATAGAAGTAATAAAATCAGGACAAGAAGTTTTAGGCTGAGGGTAAGCGGAGGAAACAGCAGGCAAGAGGTAGAATCCAGAAGTCTGAGGGAATTAGCCAGTAACAGAGTAAAGCAGGGACTCACTAAAGAGGCTTGCTTCCCTGCTGTCAGATGTCTTTATATTCTTTCTACCTGTTTTATAGGATCATGGTATTATTTACTAATGCTAATAACTACAAATAGTGAACTTAGGGAAGAGAATACATATTATTCTTTAGAGTGTTCAGCTTCTGTCTTTGATTTTTAGGAGTACCTTGCATTTTTAAAGATGGTACTTCTCAGTATTTCAACTTTATGTTAGGTGAACTCTAGAGATAAAACTTGGAAAGATCCTTAAATATTAGAGCAATATGATTTCAAGTATGTTTTGTTTAAATATTAAAATTCTAATATACAAAGTATTTTTTATAACTGGTTTTAATATTAAGTATACTGGTAAGTTGTTAATTTAAGACACTGAGAATGTAAATTCAGTAGGCCTTTCATACTTTATTTTTTGGGCTTTTAGGACTAGTATTCTTTAACTTGGAGGGGGGCTGTTTATAAGCTTTAAAAACGTCATACAAAGTATTATGTTATGTGCATCTTCCTGGGATTTTCCAAGGGTTAGAAGAAAAGTCAATATGATTTTGAAAATTGTGATTTTTTTTTTATTTATTTGCATGTTCACCCTTTAATAACAGAAAACTGGTGGTCAGTACTTGAGCCTCCACTATTCCTCAAGATAGTAGAACTTTTTAAGGAAGTTGTGGTACATCTTTTGAAACTCTACAAGATCGGCATTCCCCCTTCTGAAAGAAGAATTTTCAACAGTTTTCTTCATACTGCATTAAAAGTTTTAGAAATATTACATAGGGTAGGTCCAGTAGTTACTTTATTTTCCTCTTTCCACATTCCTACTAACAGATTGATAATTGTTCCTTTTAACATTAATATGTTATAGTTTTAGATTGGCATTGAAATATATATACTGTAGCATTTTGGAAAATTTATCATCTATACTTTAAAAACAATATATGTAATTTGGAACTTTCATCTCATTTGACTTTTTTAAGGCATGTTATCGATAAACTTGTCTGTAGTTGGGCAGAACAATAGCATACTAATGAATTAGAATTCTTACATTTTCTTACAAAGAACATCATTTGTTAGTTTAAGTAATATGTCTTTTGTATTTACAGGTGGTTATCCTATGAAGGGGAGTGCTGGTGGCACAGTGGTTAAGAGCTAGGCTGCTAACCAAAAGGTCAGCAGGTCGAATCCACCAGCCCCTCCTTGAAAACCCTATAGGGCAGTTCTGCTCTGTCCTGTAGGGTTGCTGTGAGTCGGAATCGACTTAATGGCAATGGGTTTGGGTTTTTTGGTATCATATGAAGGAGACTGGGTCCTAGCTGTTATTACGAACATTTAAACCCATGATCTTTTGTTGTTGGGTACTAATAGCCTCAATCAAAGTAGAACATTTCATTTGAAACAAATGACTAACTTAAAATTGGAAACATATATATAATTCATTAATTTGCCTATTGTTCTTTCCTGCCCTTTTTCCCAGTGTAAGAAATAGTATCCTTTACACTTGTAGCAGTTCAAAGTTATATGAAGAGGTAGAGTCTCAGCTGTTGCATTAAAGATGGATTTGAGTCATCCCTGACAGCTGGTAGGTATATCTCTGTTATGCCATTTGGTATTCTTGAGATGCTATTTAAGAGTCCATGAGACATGACCTAAGGGAGAAGCATATGTTTTCAGCCTGTAGAGTGACTGAAAAATTCACATGAACCTTTGATCTTTAGTTTTCTCTCCTTAACAACTCCTTTAGTGTTTTCAGATCCTAATTGGTTAGTAAGTACTAAGGTAAATGATAAGAGGATAAAGGAGATAATCTGCTCTAAGAAAGAACCCTTATGTATCACTTATTTTCCTTTTTATTCTTTCACTGAAGCTCCTGGGTATTTTTTCAACTACTTCCTGGACTTACTTTTCTTCTTTGTGTTTAGTGTATCCAAGACTCCTAGAACAAGTCATTTCTCTTCTCATTGTAATTGAAGAAATAATAGCCATTCATTTCCTAGGGAAACAAATCATTCTTATGTTTACCTTTCCCCAGAACAAGGCTTTCTTGCAGCATTTCAGGGTTAACTGGATTCTGCAGTAAACTGCTGTTAAGAAGGTACTCTAATTTCATATGATGGGTCTCTACCTTTCTGTATGCCTTTTGCCTAGTGTTCAAGAGATTAATTAGATTGTTTCCTTTCCTCTGGACTCTCTTCCTGCTATGTCAGTGATACTTTTTCAGCTGGATCCTATCCCCGATAATTACTCACTTATCTCTCCCTTCAGCTTAACTTTATTCTCCCTTTTAAAAAGTACTTTTCCTCCTTTTAAAAATATCTTCCTTTTACTACAAGAAAAAGAGAAGGTAGAAGAAGGGAAGGAAATTGAACCTTTTTCCTTTCATAACTACAGGCAGGATTTCAGCAAGTAACTTAAGTTGTCTGCCTATCTCAGAAGCCTTGATCTCTACTGAGGATGAACCCTATAGGTTTCCATCTTTATAGTCCTTTTTGATGGAGCCGTGGTAGATACGAGGATACTAACTTTTTGCTAGTTGAAGGGGAAGGGAAAATCAAACATTTATTGAATGCTAACAATAGCCAGGATTAATGTATAGCCTCCTTTGTACATTAATTCATGTAAGCACTTTACATATATAACTCATTTAACCTTTTTAACCCTGTAAAGTTGATACTGTTACCCCTTTTTATAGACTGGAAAATGAATCTCTGTGTCAAAGATCCTAAACCAGTAAGTAGCAGAGTTGAAATCCTAATCCAAATCTACTTCCAAGGTCCTTGTTGTTTCTAATACTCTTCTGTACCAGCAGCAGATATAGTAATATAATATGTCTAGAAGGGGATTTGCTCTTATGTTATGCCCTTAGGCCCAGAGTTTTATACTTCCATAATTGTAAATAGCATTGTATTGTGTTAAGGGCCCTAGACTAGGAATCAAAACCCTGTCTGGGCTGCTTCCTGTCAGTGTGCTTTTGAATAAGCCTTCTTCTTTATCATATATGCAAATGAAGAATTATCTGTAAAATAAGGATAAAAATACCTGCCCTGATAGTTTCCCAGGATTGATGTACCGTTCAAATTATTCAATATGTGTGAAAACACTTAAAATTTATGTATATTCATAAGGCATAATGATGATTTCATTATCACCACCACCACCACCATTTGGTCGGAAAACACCACTTTACCTGATTGATTTGGGTTATGAGGAAACTGGATTCTTGTTTCAAATTGTTACATACCCAAAAACAGTATGATCACGTATCAGTTTCTTAGACATCTCTTTCCGGGAGTCCTTAGGGTTGTCACTTACCTTTCTTCTACTCTTTACTTTGGAGTAAACTTTTTCCATAAGTAGATACCTGTAAATATTAACTATTTCATTTTCATCTTTAGAGAAACCCAAGTTACTTATCAGAAACTTATTTTTTTCAAAGACAGCTTATGTATGATAACTACATATTCCTTCTCTCTGCTCCATGGTTAAGAATTAGGGGAAGCCCCCTAAAACAGTTTCCTTCTTGACCTAACCTTGGAGCAGGATTGGGAACTAGAGAACAGGACTGTGTGTTTCCTAGTCATTTCAGGCTATATGGATACAATTATTCCTCCCTTATGTCATGTCCTTTGGAAAACTTTTGAATTAAAAGTCATTTCCAGTGCTCCAAATGGCATCGTAAGAAAGATACTTTGGTACCTGCTGTCAGGAATGGATGTATTATTTTTAGATAGATGAGTTTACTGGCAAGTAATTGGGTTATTCAGTAGTTCCTGAGTTTCCACACAGTGTGTTGTAGAGATACTGGTATGCCAAAAGAAAAGACTTACCTGTGTCTTGTCTAGTCTCCTTGCTACATATATGCTGATCTTCTAAACAAGTGATTTAAAAAAAAATTTCTTTTTTTGGCAGAGAACCCTTAAATAAACCAAACAGTTAAGACATACATATATACTCACCATATACTACCCCTGAACTGAGGTTTATAAGCCTAAATGTGAAATAAAAGTGTTATGACCATACATGTATAGGTTTTATTTTATACATTTTAGGCAATAATACTGAATGTATAGTTGTATTGAACTTCTGCCACATGGTTTCTTTTTCTTAATTCATTTAGCAAGTATTTATTGAGTGCCTCCTATGTGATCATCATTTTATAAGACATTATGGATGCAGTGATAAACAAAAGATGTGATTTCTGCCCTTGTTGAGCTTTTAATTTCGAAAGGTTGTGTGCGTACAAATAAATGAGTGTTTATGATAATAGCATGGTAAGTGCTAGATGAGCTAAAACGTAGGCTGCTACGAAAACACATAACTCAGAAGGATTAAGGAAGGCTTCCTGGAGAAGATGTTTTAATTGTTAATTTTATGTTCCATACAGATAGATTTTTGTATTTTTTAAACTCTTGATTTTGTATGCAAATTTGTATGCAGGTCTTTTGGATCAGTCTTCTGTTCAGTTTCTAATATCCCTATAGCTAATTAACTCTCAGCCATAATTTTCCTCCAAGGTTAAGTTTGGCTGAAATTTATCTTTTGTTTCTGAACCAAACCTGGTTTCTGAATCGTTAATTTTTGTTCTAATAGAGCATTTCTTTTCAAAACATATATATCATATCAGACTCTCTCTATAGTCTGTATATTTGCAGGATATATTATACAAGCTGCAGACTGGTTGCTGTTGGGAAAAGAAACTGCAGTTTGCCTTTTTTAATCTAAAATAAAAATATGTATCAAAGGTCAATGGGACATGAATTGATTTCTGTAAGAGTCCCTAAATTTAGAGCTTAATGGGAGAGTAGTGGTGTTATGTATGTCTTTACTCTCCTTTTTCATTAGAGCTACTTCAGAACAAAAGTTTGAAACGTGTGGAAATTATATAAACCTTTTTTTTTAAAAAAATATTTTATTGTGTTTTAGGTGAAAGTTTACATAGCGATTTTTATACAAATTATTCTGTGACATTAATTACCATTTTCACAATGTGTCAGCATTCTCATTATTTCCATTCTGTTTCCATTGATGTAGTTTCCCTTCCCCTCATTGCCTTCTCTTCTTTGTTTTTGGGCAGATGTTGACTGTTTGGTCTCATATAGTTGATTGTTTTAAGGGAACACATTATTCACGGGTGATATCATTTATTTTGTAAGCCAATGTATTATTTGGATAAAAGGTGACCTCCAGAGATAGCTTCAGTTCCAAGTTCAAAGGATATCTTAGGGCGATAGTCTTGGGAGTTATCTTTAGTCTCTGTTGGTCCAGTAGGTCTGGCCTCTTTTAGGAATTTGAGTTTTGTTCTACATTTTTCTCCCATTCTATCCGGGACTTCTGTTGTGTCCCTGGTCAGATCGGTTGGTAGTGGTGGCTGGGCACCATCTAGTTCTGATCTCAGGTTAGAAGAGGCCATGGTTTGTGTGGGTTATTAGTCCCGTGGACTACTTTTTCTTTGATTTCCTTCATTCTCTTTTGCTCTGTGTGAGTAGAGACCAATAGTTGTGTCTTAGATGGCCACTTGCAAGCTTTTAAGACCCCAGATGCTACTCACCAAACTAAGATGTATAGAGCATTATCTTTATGAACTATGTTATGCCAATTGACTAAGTTGTCCTCGAGACTATGGTCCTAAGACTTTTAACCCAGTAAACCAGTCCTGCAAGTTGTTTGGTTATGTCTAGGAAGCCTTCATAACTGTGCCCCGTATGTGCTTTGTTATGTATACATTGATAATATATGCAGCAGACACAAACGTGTATATACTTATACCTACAGATACACCTA